TGCGCTTTCAGTAACAGTGGACTTACGCACGTTCAGGAAAAAATTTTCAGAGGGGAAAAAGAAGAAAAAATATGGCAGTCAAACAAAGTGAGCGAGCCTCCACTACCTTGTCTGTCTTTTTTTCTCGTAGTTTGCACAAAGCCGTCGTCAGCGTGTGTGTGTGTGTGTGTGTGTGTGTGTGTGTGTGGTGTGTGTGTGTGTGTGTGTGGTGTGTGTGTGTGGTGTGTGTGTGTGTGGTGTGTGTGTGTGTGTGTGTGTGTGTGTGTGTGTGTGTGTGTGTGTGTGTGTTGTGTGTGTCTTCCGGACTAACGCTAACTAGGACAAATTGCAATAGTTTCGAGTGCGCAGACAAAGCACCCAAAAGTATTTTAACGAGACGGAAGAAGCACGCCTAAGTGCACAATTAAGAACACCAATAAAGCATCCTCCGTGGGTGAGCCAGCTCCGATACCCCAAGCGCTGTTGATGCCCAGAGTATGGTGGCTGGCAACCCCTACTGTGGTCAGGTGACAGAACAGCCTGTCACACCTAGTGGCGACTTACTAGGTGCACTTTTCGGAGCGAGGTTCAACATGGCAACAGTCAGTATGAGGCACCCATTAGCTGCACCACACACAACATGCCGCTAATGGGTGCTTCATAGTGTTATTAAGGGGTGCTCAGGGAAGTGTTATTTTGCCGTTGCTGTTTCTTATACACATTTTTGACTTCCCCAAAATAAATATTCCATCACACATACGCATTTTTGCAGACGACTAACGACCATCTTCAAGTCCTCCACAGGGATCTTGAACTGGTTTCTCTTTTGGTACTACACTTGGCTTATAAAGCTTAACATTTCCAAACATAAAATCATGTTATAGCCACAGGTGTAGTACACCTACATATTTAGAGCCCAAAATAACACTAATGTCTTGCATGACACGCAGTAAAAACATCTTGGTGTTTATCTAGCATCTACCCTTTTGAGCTCAACTCTTAGTGCACAAGCTTGCACGAATGCTTCCAGATCAACAGGTGACATGCATATCCGTAAACTAGCTTACCTAACATTTGTACAGCACCCTTATCTTCTTAGTATCATCCCACGTGTACATATTGCCATTGATCTTGATCTTGTCGTAAAAAAGCTGCACTTTGCTTCCGGATGCTCTTTCATCGGCGGAACTTTGCCATAATTGCTTTCTAACATGCCTTGTTGAAGCAGAAAAGTCTTCCGAGATAGTAATATTTCGTTTGCCTTTTAGCTTTGAACAATTTTTTAGCACGTTCAGCTTATCACGGTGGTCCAAGAACCTCATGATTACTGGGCGCGGTTTATCTATTTGTTTACGCCCCATTCTGTGCAGCCGTTCAAGTGAGGAAACCTGTACACCCAGTGTTTCCTTAAATATTTCTTCAACAATTTTTTTCCATAAGTGACTCGGGCGTCTCATTTTCATTCTCAATAATACCGAATATTATGAGATTATTTCGCCTACTTCGGTCTTCAATATCAACAAGTTTTCTTTCTAATGTCTGAATGCTATCCTCCATATTGTCAATTCTTGCTTCAAATTCAAAGCGCTTTGCCACGGATTCCTCTACATTCTTCATTTTTATCTCTATGCCGTCTAGTCTTTTCATCATACTTTTCTGACCCGCAAGAATTTCTGTGAGTAGTTCCCGGTCACTAGGACCAGGATTTGGCTCCACATCGCCAGATAGTAATAGCAGCGACAGTACAATTTTTTTTGCATATGATATAAAAGCACTCAGGTAGTGTGGGCACGTCAGCTGGACAAAGAACGAATCGCTAGTTTTCACCGTAGAATACTTTGAACTAACCTGCGTGAAAAACAGGATCGGGTTCATAGCGTCCGCCGGGAGCCAGCTGACGCGCCCACTGACAGGTAGCCGGTAGGATGATCTTCTTATAGCTGTCGATAGTGGCGCCGAGGTTGAATGTGGTGGTACGGTGAAGTCCAGGATCTGTGATCGTTCGTATTCGTAGTTTTCAGTGTTGGAGCTGGTATCGGTTGCGGAGCATGTTGTTTCCTCCTGCACGCCGGCCGTCCGTGGAGCGATAAGCAGCAGAGCCTGCGTGAAAAACAGGATCGGGTTCATAGCGTCCGCCGGGAGCCAGCTGACGCGCCCACTGACAGGTAGCCGGTAGGATGATCTTCTTATAGCTGTTGATAGTGGCGCCGAGGTTGAATGTGGTGGTACGGTGAAGTCCAGGATCTGTGATCGTTCGTATTCGTAGTTTTCAGTGTTGGAGCTGGTATCGGCTGCGGAGCATGTCGTTTCCTCGTGCGCGCCGGCCGTCCGTGGAGCGATAAGTAGCAGAGCCTGCGTGAAAAACAGGATCGGGTTCATAGCGTCCGCCGGGAGCCAGCTGACGCGCCCACTGCGATGACATCGCTCAATATCTGGGCATCGTATCTGAAGACGCTCAGATAGCACCTGTGCATTCAGCAAAAAGTCGGTATTTTCATCACGAGTTTCCGCTAAGCCATGTAAAAGAATATTGTTTCGGCGTGAGCGGTTTTCTAAATCATCTGACTTTAAACTGAGTTTGGTGACAAATTCTTTAAGTGACGCGATTTCATAGTTAAGCGTATCGTTTGTCACATCACAATTAGCAATAGCTGTGTAAGATTCTAATGCAGATACACGAGTCTCAAGGGCTTCGAACCGCGAGTTAAATGCTTCTTTGATATCTGTAATATCGCTTGAAATTTTTTTCTGGCCAGCCAGTAGTTGCGCAAAAAGATTAGCCATGTCGGTTGGGGAACTAGTTGAACTGCCAGTGCCACTCGCAACGGGGGTGTTAACATCGGTTGTCTTAGCAGTATTTGCTGAAGGGACACCTCTAGGACCGGGGTTAAGTTCGACGTCACCACTCAAGAGAAGGCTAGAAAAATGCAAAACACGAGAGCAACAAGCAACAAGACTGTTCGGGCAGAACAGCAGCAATAAGAAGCGGTCGTCGGAACGATAGCTATAGGCATCAGGAGTATAAAAACAAGCAGCGATTTAGCGACATTCCGGTGTTGCCGCTGTTCTGCCCACTGATGCGAGGAGCCGCCGCGATGGCCTTTATAGCGTCCCGTGTTGACGTTGCGGACCACGTGTTAGCGATGAATGGCTTTGAGTAGATGACGTCGGTTATAGGCGGAACACGTGAGAGTCCATCGCTAAAGCCGTGCAGCATGCCAGGGTCAACTTCAAGCGGTGTGGCAGGATAGACCAAAGGCACACAATCGACAGCATCGTCGTGTTGCAGAAGAGGCAGCATGGACGATAAGGCAGCGTAGCCGCTGAGCGATCCATGGTAGAATCCAAAAAGCTGCGTGAAAAACAAGCAGCGATTTAGCGACATTCCGGTGTTGCCGCTGTTCTGCCCACTGATGCGAGGAGCCGCCGCGATGGCCTTTATAGCGTCCCGTGTTGACGTTGCCGACCACGTGTTAGCGATGAATGGCTTTGAGTAGATGACGTCGGTCATAGGCGGAACACGATGGAGTCCATCGCTAAAGCCGTGCAGTGTGCCAGGGTCAACTTCAAGCGGTGTGGCAGGATAGACCAAAGGCACACAATCGACAGCATCGTCGTGTTGCAAAAGAGGCAGCATGGACGATAAGGCAGCGTCACCGCTGAGCAATCCATGGTAGAATCCAAAAAGCTGCATGAAAAACAAGCAGCGATTTAGCGACATTCCGGTGTTGCTGCTGTTCTGCCCACTGACAGGCATGTGAGCCAAAAATCTCTTGCCAAGATGACAGGCACGTGAGCCAAAAATCTCTTGCCCTTGCTTTTTTCCTCGTTTCTAAGGAACATGGGGTGATTTGTTAATATACAGAGTTTGGAAAGCTCGAAGTTTTCCTCTGAAGTTATCCACCATTTTACAAAACAAAGAATGTGTTGACTTTAGTTCATATGATACACCATTAAGACGGCTCGTTTCTCAAAGTGCGCCCACCGCATTTGCCAAGTGGTAGTGGGTGTTTTTATGGAGCCTATATTTGTGGTGGGGAGAACCTCAAAATCATAGTCACGTTATCACAGCAGGCACTTCAAAGGCATTCTGGTGCATCACATGAGGCTGTGCTGTATTATGTGACAGTGCTTGTAACCACAAGAGAAAAGTGGATGAATTAATAGCTTAACTCGTCATGTTTTATGCATGTTGCATAAATCTAATGCCCCCTTGTCTCATACACCAGACCTCATTATAACGAAGTTGCATCTTATACAAAAATAAATTTGTTACATCTAAACATTCGTTATGCAGGTTTATTCCTAACACTATATCTATGGCAAGACTATTTTTCATCTACTTCCTTATGACCTATATTTTGTTATATCCTGGATTGTTATATCGAGATTTGAGTGTATCGCTTCTGCATAATAAAACTTCCTACAAGAAGTACCGCAAATAAAATTGTACAATGGACTGCTAAAATATATTGTAGGTGGTTAGTATTCGAGAAAAAAAGTCAGTTTCGCCAAAGGGGCGAAGCAATGAATGCGATTTAGCTTCGGCTTCTCAATGCTAAAGTTCTGCACGCTTCAGTCTAACACCGTGGAGAACCTAACCACCATCGATCACAGTTACAAGGCAATCCCGCAATATTACTGAGAATAGCTGAGGCTCCACCCAGTACCGCACAAGTACCTTTCGGCCGTGGATTCTGCGGCGTTGGCGCCACAAAGACACACAACCAACCGCAGATTACATACGTATTACCCCACAGAATACCAATACATATGCCGGCGGAGTGAGAGCACACTGACACCGAACCACAGCACATGGGAATGCACAGCTAGCACCGAAGGGCAGGAAGAGATTATCAGCAGGTTTATCTGGAAGGCAATGCAGTCCAGCTTTGCCCTCGGGGACCAGCTGAGACTTGTCAAGAGGGATGAAAGGATGGCAAGGCAGGATGGCGGGTGGAAAGAATGGTTAAAATTAGTTTCATCAAAAATAGAGCAAGAAATCTGACACCATCCAATCAACCGATAGATGCGAGCTTTCGACTCTCATTTATTTGCTAATTATTTGCTGAAAATGACCACTGCAGAGCAAGCGTGTGCTCGCAGAATCGGCACATTCCCTTGGGCTGTGTCAATGTAAGACGCGAGAAGACTATTTCAATATACAATAATTCCGTAGGCACAGGTTGCATTGGAAAGGTCACAGCACTGTCGTAAGTTCAAAGCCTCCAGATCTTGAAACCTCCATGAGCACAGTGCGCTGTCACTGACGATGAAGAGTGCGGGCTCTCGATTGACTGTGGCAGGGCCTTTTTCTCTCCTTCTTCATTAAAGGTGAGCTTGCTGTCAGTCTGCACTCATCATCACCATCTGTGATGCCATCACCATTTCAATATTCCTCCATTCGACTGCTGGTCCTCGTTGGATATTCCAAGACTAGAGGCATTGCTGAAAGAAGCCAGAAGTCTGAATGAGCTACGCTGCAAAGATGCTGTAGAAGAATTGATAGCTGAGCAAGTTGGTGATAGTTCTTTATTATCTTGAAGGCAGTGCTATAAACGACACAGGCAAGAAAAGACAAACTATAGTTCTTCACTAGCAGCTAAATATTTTTACATTAAAGCACACTTAATAGCTGACAACAGGCTAATGCATGTGAGGACTTAGCACACAACATTTGGAGGCACCATTCTGAATCTAATAAACTAAAAAACATGAAAATTCCTATCCCTTCCACGTGAACAGCCACAAAAAAAAGAAGATTGATATGGTGAGAAACGAAGTGATCAGTGCTTCAGCTCTCCCTCCATAGCCTGGCATGATAATGTGGTTCGGGACCACAGCAATCTTCTTTGTGCCTGCTCACATGAAAGTGATTCGAATTTTCCATGCCTGGTATTCGTTTCTAGGATTAAAAATGGTGCCTTCTGACCTCATGTGTAAAGTGGCCACTTTTGTGACAGGTCGTCAGTATTTAAGTGTGCTTGTATTTTCATTATCATTTACTTCAGAAGTTCAGTGCTGTAGTGTGTCAATACTTCTTTTTGTCTATGTCATTTCTGAACTGTTGTCAAAGTACTTTGTTCAGATGCAAAGGTGCTGTCAAATCTGGCAGACTGGCACAAGAGCATACACAGTCCGAGAGAAGGTAATTAATAATAATTTATGGAGTTTGACTAGCTAAACCATAATACAATTAGGACGCACGCCATAGTGGAGTGCTCCAGATACTTCGATCACCTGCGGTTCTCGAATGTGCGACTACATCCAAGTAAACGGGCCTCCAGCTAGCCTCCATTGAAAATGCAACTGTTTGCAGCCACGATTGAACCTGCAATTTTCGGGTCAGCAGCCGGGCCCCATAACCACTGTGGGTGGGACGACCAATCCAAAGGGGCATTTCATGGCACTGAGAGAAAGAAATTGCTGCCACATCCGCAGTGAAATTCGAAAACAATTTTGCGAATCCCAGCAAACACTTCAATTCAGCAAGCGTAGTACTTTCTGCTGAAGACAAACCTTGGATACGCACAGTTATCGTAGAATTTGTGCGTGTACCCCACATAATAACACACTAACTAAATAGTGCACGCAAGAGGCGTTCTTCAACTCGTGTGACAATCCCAGCTTTATGAAACAACTTTAGCTTCACCACTGACTGTAACAATAACAGCACATTTGGAATACCATTATGACTTACCACGAAGACACAGATAAACTGAATAACTATTGGCCATGAAATCGACCTAGAGGTGGCAGCGAAGTCGCCGTGTTAGTGCAGATACAGTCGATTCTTGTTAATTCATCAAGTCACAGCAGAATAAAAAGATGAAGTGATGTAATAATATAGGGCCCCTGTTCAGCGCTTGCCTGCTCTGCAATTCTACAGCACAAGATGCAAAGGCGTCGCATAGGCGACCCGCACCGCGAAGAGCCCACAAGAAAAATCGTCACAGAGTAATTGTTGGCAAAATTTCACTATGTTGTAACATTACCTCGTAACATTTTCATTCTCCCGTAAGAACAAATTGAGTGATTACTGTTGTGGCGAAAAACTTCGCCTTACTTGGTTTCCGCAGCGTGCAGCAAGAGTGACCACTGCCAAATGTGGGCAGGCTCACCCCCCCCCCCTAACTTTTCTCTTTTCATACCCCCCCCCCCCCCCCGGCTGGTACGCCTATGACCATGCATGTGCTTCGCTTGAAACATTTGTTTACAAGCAAAGCAGTTGCTCCTTGAAGCCCTGAGGTGCTTATTTCTCATTTTTAGACTGTTGGGAATATAAACACGCAAACTTTTAAATATTAGTGGGAAAGCAGCAGATATTTTCTGATAGGGAAGTGCAAAAAGTATGAATTAACCAAATGATTAAGTTGAATTAAGAGCCTTTTAAATACATTGAAAAAATAGAGGGCAACTAAAACAAATTTTTGTTAGAATCAACCGAAAGTAAGAATTGTCAGAGTTAGAATTATTGCGAGTCTACTGTATATTGCTCGCAGTGTGTGTGGAAGTACATGGGGCTCCTGGTTTTATGTCATCATTCTGCGCTCCATAGGTCTTGAAAACATTTCAATTTTCAAGGGGAGGTATTGTTTGGCTCTGCAACACCACACATACAGCACTAAGCCAGAGATTAGTTTTCATTCCACTACAGAGGAGGCCCAACATCACCAATGGGGGCTTTTCAGGTGTTGGAACTTCAAGGCACTTTCAGATGCTGCTGATTTGAAGATGCAAAGTGGTGCACTTACACTTTGGAAAAGCGGTTCTGACGTTCAAGAAACATTGTCGCTGTCTTCGAGATCGTGGGATTGCATCCAACAGGAGACCGTGGGAGAGTACATGTTGGTCTGATAGATGCCTGTACACCATGTGGTTTTGTCAGCAGCCTCTTTTGCATATGCACTGGCACCTTCCACGACTTTCACAGGTCCTGGAGTCGCTATTCTTGGTCCTCTACAATACAGAGGATGCTGCTTTGTAACCTAAAGACAGAGAGAGAGATAAGGTGTCACAACAATGTGGGGACACATTTGACTTGCAATTCGATGAAGGATAGCAAGTGTTTGGGCATAACGTCCCGAAACCACGATATGATTATGAAGGACACCATAGCGAAGGGCTTCGAAAATTTCGTCTACCTAATGCCACTAAATACAGTGACCTCGGACATTTTAGCCTCTACGGAAAATGTGCCCACCGAGGTTGGGATTCGATTCCACGACCTTTGCATCAACAGTTGCGCACCACAACTGCTAGAGCAACGAACGCAATGGGTGAATCCCAATACAGCGAAGTATCGTAACAAAACATATAGAGTATAGTCAAGAGTTTGACGGAATCTCGTATGGTCGGGGACGAACAGCGGAAGAAAACAAAAACACTGACCAAGGTAAAATGCACAAAAATTTTTTAAGACTTTTTGGTACAGAAAATTTTAGCGAGTGGCGAGTTTGAGTGAGTCCGGCTCAGGAAAATTTTTCTGAGTGAGTCCCAAGTGCAAAATATATTTAATGTGAGAGTTTGAGTGAGCTCCACAATTTTTGTCGACCTATGTAGTCGACTAAAACAAAATTCACTGAGCAAAGTAAAATAAACAGAAATTTCGAAGACTTTTCAGTCCCTTATGTGTAAAGAACCAAAAAGTCTATAAAATTTAGTTCTTTTATGTAAAAATTAAACCTGACAGAGTGCAGAATAAATATGATATTGATTGCATGCTAATTGCACATAGTTACTCAAACTCATTCATTTTCTCATCTCATTTTCTTTCTTGGGATCTAATACCGAGTGCCTTGAATTTATGTTGCACGAGTTCGACACGTTTTCATGTAGTCCACTACAGCGCCTACCTCAAGGGTTTAGGCACTGCTTCATTTATGCCATGCACTGCTTTACGAACCTATCGTAGATTAATCTAATGACTGAAGCCAAGCCTTGCAACTTCATTACAATAAATTGTAGCAGTACAGTAAAAGAAAGGAGTTAGGACACAAGACAATCAAAAAGAAACAAAAGTGACAAAAAAATAGTCATTGCATGGTAAGTCAGTCCACGTTCGATTGATGACGCGAGAAATATGGCTTGAGCTTTCACAGACACATGCACCACATCACTTTGTGGAAACCGACAGGAACTTCTTGAGGTGCTATCAGGGGAGAACTTCGTATGTAACATCACTGAGTCGGCGTAGAACTTTGTACGGGCCGAAGTAGCGCCGCAGCAACTTTTTAGAGTGACCACGCTATCGGATGGGAGTCCACACCCAAACTTCATCGCCTGGTTGGAAGGTAACCTCTCGGTGTGTAAGGTTGTAGCGGCGTGCGTCCGCAGTTTGGTGAGCCTGAATACGGTGTCGGGCGAGTTGACGGGCCTCCTCGGCGCGTTGAGCGAACAGGGCAGCGTCCGCGTTGAACATGCCCAGGTTGTTGGGAAGGAGCATTGCGTCGAGCATTGTAGTGACCTCTCAACCATGAACTAAGTGAAATGGGGTGCAACCTGTACTCTCTTGGACTGCTGTATTGTAAGCAAAAGTTGCGTAAGGGAGTATATCATCCCAATTATTGTGATCAAGGGCCATATACATTGACAGCATATCTGCAATGGTCTTGTTTAGCTGTTCAGCTGAGTCTGTTTGTTTGGGGGTGATAACCCGTGGTTTTCCGATGTTCTGTACCACTTAGTCTAAGCACTTTTTGATGCATCTCTGCAATGAAAGCTGTACCACAATCAGTAATTATCACAGCTGGCACACCGTGACAAAGTACGATGCTGGTGCCAAAAAACTGGGCGATTTAGGCTGCTGTAGCTTTGGGCAGGGCCTTTGTTTCGCTGTAACTCGTTGAATAATCGGTGGCAACCACAACCCGAAGTTTCGTGTGAAGTTTCGAGGAAGGCTGCGTTTTCGGCCTTCAGGTAGTCAATCAGCGGGCTTAGCTGCATGTCGTTGCATTGTTGTTGAGCCAAGTCGGTCGCTGATACAGAGGAAAGGAATATATCGTCCTCTTGAATGCTTACGTTCGTACTTTTAATTGGCGCACATGAGATACAGTCGCATCAGTGTGTATGCGTCCTGACTTGTGAATGACTGTAACGTCAAATTCTTGCAGCCGAAGGCTCCACCCTGCTAGACGATCGGAAGGATCTTTGAGGTTGGCGAGCCAGCATAAAGAATGGTGGTCACGAACTACCCTGAATGGTCGACCGTACAAATAAAGGCGAAACTTTGTTATAGCCCAAACAACGCCAAGCATTCTCTTTCTGTTGCAGAGTAGTTTTTCTCTGCAGATGATAGTGTTCGACTTGCAAAGGCAATCACGCGCTCTACGCCATTTTGCCATTGAAACGTCGGACAGCTCCAAGTCAGACGTTGCTGGCATCTGTGTGTAGCTCTGTGGCAGCGTTGTCGTCAAAGTGACCGAGTACAGGTGGGGCTTGGAGATGGTTTCATAGCGCGTCAAAGGCGTGATGCTGATCATGACCCCAAACAAACAGTACGCCGTCTTTTGTAAGTTCATTTAGCGGTTCAGCGATTTTAGAAAAGCCTTTGAAAAAGCTACTGTAATATGCGCACAGTCCCATAAATCGGCAGAGATCGCACTTGTTCAATGGGACAGGAAATGCGGCAACAGCTTTCGTTTTCTCAGAATCTGGGTGTATATCGGCGTGGCTGACAACAAGACCAAGAAACTTCAGTTCCTCGACAGCAAAGTGACATTTCTCAGGTTTGAGAGAAAGTCCAGCTGTTCGAATCGCCTGAAAAAAATAGGCTCTGGACGTGCTGCTCAAACGTGTCCGAGAAGACGACCACATCGTCAAGGTAGACAAGACACAATTGCCATTTTAGCCCAGAAAGAGCCGTGTCCATCATTCTTTGAAAAGTAGCTGGCGCCGAGCATAAGCCGAAGGGAAGGACCTTGAACTCGTAGAGTCCGTCAGGAGTAATGAAGGACGGTCTTTTCGTGGTCGCGCTCATCAACAGAAATTCGCCAATAGCCGCTGCGTAGATCATGGAAGAAAAGTAACGAGCATTGCGAATACGGTCCAGCAAGTCCTTTATTCATAATAAAGGATACACAGTCTTTCTTCGTGATCTTATTCAACTTTCGATAGTCGACGCAAAATTGCAGGGTACCATCTTTTTTCTTTACTAACACAACAGGGAACGCCCACGGACTGGTCGATGGCTGGATGACGTCGTCCTTGAGCATCTGCTGGACCTGTTGGCGTATAACGTCTTGTTCTTTTTGCGAGACTCTGTAGGCGTGCTGTCGAATCGGTCTCTCGGTAGGCTTGGTGATGATATGATGCTTGGCAAGCGGTGTTTCGTTCACTTTTGAAGTCATAGCGAAGCAGTCCCGAAATTAGTCGAGTAGCTTCAAAAGACGTTCCCGTTGTGCGGACAGTAGACCCTGGTTTACGTCGAGAGTGCTTGCGAATGTCATGGCGGAATCATCGCAGGATGAAAGAGCAGATAATGTTGAGGGACCAGACACGTCGGCAATATCCTCAAGGTATGCGATCGCAGTGTGTTTGGTAAGATGGCGATACTTCTCGCTGAAATTCGTGACTATTTATTTATTGATACTGTTAGCCAAAGGCCGTTACAGGGTGGGGTAAAGAAATACACTTCACTTGTTGACACAAGCACTACAAAATGAAATCAAGAAAGGCAACACAACAGGCAGTTTTTAACAGAGGACTAATCCAACAGGTAAGTTAATTAATGTTTACGCAGTAGTGACCAACAATTGGCATGGTAGCATAACTTCATACAACACACTTGACGAAGGCTATATCATATACATCACAAACTTCAGCGTCGTAGGAACTTTTCCTACCGACGTAAAGTGCAGGTATAGAAAAATATACAAAAAAGGGGCAAGCCTGCTTCCTCCTGGGCTGAACAATACCTCGGGCAACGCAGATTTGTTGTGCAAAAAGTAGAGACAAATTTTCTTCTGCAATTACAGCATCGAGGACGTCTTGGTCCCATTCAACATTGATAAAGAGGCTGCTGCGGGGAGGCATAGTAACAGATTCGGAGGACACACGTAGGGCAGCCTTTGATAAGTGGGTGTTTTTAGGTTCAGGATGAAATGGGTCCTCGAAGGACACCTGCAACTCTCGACACCTGCAACTCTCGTAGGTCAATAATTGCGCCGTGTTCGCGAAGAAAGTCCAGTGCCAGAATGAGTGGACGGGAGCACACAGGTAATACGAGGAAAGACCCTGTGAACGTCAAAGCACGGACTCGAACACAGGCTGGGCACATTCCAGTAGGCGTGACGAGGTGGCCCCCTGCCATGCGCAACGGGGGTCCTTGCCAAGGAGTGGTCACCTTCCTCAGTTGGGATGCCAGGGCGCTGCTCATAACCGAATAATTGGCGCCGGTGTCAACGAGGGCAGTGACGATGTGATTATTGAAGTGTACAGTGATATCGGCGGAAACAGTCTTATGACTTTCGGAAACGAGTGGAAAGTCTTTGCGTCGAGGGAGGTTCTTTGACAGTTCCTTGGGACGCGGCTTCACCACCAGGAGCCGCGGTTTCTAGCTTTCCCTTTGGGGACTCGGTGACCAGCCTCTGAAAGGAGCATAAGATGACGAGGTAATGCTAAGTGACGTGGGGTGGCGAGGTGATTGTGATCGTGATTGGGGGTGTTGACCAAGGCGAGGAGCTTGCTGGCCCGCAAGGTACGCTTCAATGTCGCGGGGACGCTCACCGTAACACGGGCACCGAGCATCATGGTGAAAGCCACGGAGACCAAGTTGGCGGTACTGGCAATTGCGGTAGACGTGACCTGCATCGCCACAGTGGTAGCAGAGTGGGCGGTTATCTGACGTACGCCACACGCTGGCCTTTGTGGCGTTCTGTAGCAATCCAGACGGATGATAAGTTGGTGCACTCAGAAACCTTGAGGCGGGTGACGGAGTCCAAAAGGTGCCCTGGAATCGATGGCTAGCCTGATCAATTGTCCACATGGTGGGATCAGGAGCATGTGATGCAGGAGATCGCAGAGCCGCCGCATAAGTCGGCACAGGTGCCTCAGGCCTTGTTGGCGCGAGTGGGGTGACCACCTGTCGGATCTCGTTTCGGATTAAGTCTGCGAGAGCATTTACGGGTGGTTGGGGTCCTGCTGCTTGGAGTTGGCGCAGCTCGTCCCGCCAACGCTTCTTATGAACTCTTGCGATGGCATATTTATCGGTGTCAAGCCTGATACAGCATGCAGCAGTGGTCACGTCGTGGCGTTCATACTGAGACGACCGATGCTGGAGAGTACGCTCCATTGTGGTTGCCTCATTTATGAACTCAGCCACAGTCGTCGATAGATTGCCCACGAGTACGGCAAAGAGCTGCTCTTTTACCCCATGCATTAAATGCCGCACATTCTTTTCCTCGGGCATTGCAGGGTTGGCACGCTTGAAGAGTCCAAGCATGTCCTCGACAAACATCGAAACTCTCTCGCTAGGTCGTTGGTTTCGAGACGAGATGGCCTGCTACACTCTCTCCTCCTTTCAGTGCTGCAGTACGCATCACGAAACTGTCAGGCTGAACGTCGCAAAGGAACCCTCATGATTCTCATACCACGTTTTGGCAGAGTCTTCTAATGCAAAGAAAACTTTCCGCAGCTTGAGAGCTTCATCCCATTCGTTGATGTTGGCAACTCGATCGAAGTGGTCAAGCCAGTCATGAACATCTTCATAAATGTCTCCATGAAATGAGCGTGGCGTTTGCGGCGCATGAAAAACATGCGGGAGAAAAGAATAGGCGTCGTTGGTTTGACTCGCCTGGTTAATAGTCGAAGTTGCCATGTAGTCTTGAGATAGAGGACCGTATTTGAGAGATAGTCCTCGCAGGCAGCGTCTGCTTCTTGCCGTGGGAGCTGTAGCTGTATCCAAGTAGATCGGTGTGTCAGCTGAAAATCTGCAGCTGAGGCGCATTTACCCAGCACCTCCACCAGTGCCACGAACGAAATAGCAGACAGCGACGAATCGACGTTTGCTCGCCCCCCAGACCAGGAAGCAAAGTCTTCTTTTCTTCACTTCCAAGCGATTTCACGCTACAGCTGATGGCTCATAACCATTACCTGCGACAATATTCTTGGTGAATACATAAATCCTCTGCTTTGCTTACAAGAGGAGTGTAAAAGCCACAATTTTCGCTACTTGTAACCTTATTCACAAAGCTACCGCTGCTCAAAACTTCCCCTCTCCTTGTTAACCTGAAACACTATAATTAGAAATGTTATCCAAAGTTACCAGATTAGGTTCAGGTTTGAAACTCTGACTGCGTGAACTAGCCAAAATTCTCCCATCTCGCGACACTGCTGTGCCTTTCAGCTCGGTCAGCACAGCGCAGTCGGTGTGGCAGAGCACTCTGTCCATAGCTGTAGCGTGGAGTTTGGCATTGTGTTAACACTTGTTCAGCTCCACTCTTTTTGCAATCGTCATACTCTAACCTAGTATAGTACATTGACATAAGGACGTTACCTAAGGACGTTGCCATAAGGTTCGCACTGATGACGAAGTAGAGGGTGCCGCCGCATATCGGTTGTCTGCAAACGCCACTTGCGTTGCACATTTTTGGCACTTCGTGAGTGGCAAGTGCGCTGACAATCATCATTAATCGCGCTGTGGCCAAATATGACCTGTATAACGAGGTTGATGCCAATGAACAATACATACACTTGCCAGGACCGGAGAATGTATTCATATTACCTTTTTTTTTTTTCCAAATTAACGAGGTTTTACTGTACTTCACAGCATTCCAGTTCGGGATTAGGGTTCACATGTCTTTCCAGTCAAAAGATGTACTCACCCCTTCCACTTGACTTTGCTGCGTCTCGTTTGATTGAAGGAGCACTTGTATTTCAGCCGCTGATCTATTTAAAAAGGCAACCAACGGTGGCTCTTCTGCAATAATAATAATAATAAATAATATTAATATTACTGATAGTAATAATAATTAATTATAAAAACCTAAATTTTCATTCCAAAGAGCTTCTATTTACATTAATACCACTCATATGAGAATGTTGCTTGACCTATTGTTTACTTTGTAACGAGAAGAATGTAATTAATGCTTTCAAAATGGAAACATATCTAATTAAATGACAAAAAATACATTTTCATTTGAAAGTTTGGAGATTCACAAAATCTTGCATACAATGGTGCTAAGAGCTACTGCAGGCACTTATAGAACTTATGTCTCGCTTTTGCTTATCTCGTAAGAGCGTACGAACATCAAAATTTCAAGCGGAAGTTGAATTAAAATTATGAAGACTAAGTTTAAATAAAATTATTAGCAATTTATTTACAGAATGCTTAGAAGGTGTGCAGTCAAGATTTTAAAATTACATAAAAAATATACGACCCAAACCACCGAGGAATAGGCAAAAGGAAAAGGCATCATTCTCGTAACATGCACCGACTAGCCCAACAACAAGTTTTACCAAACGATTTCTCTTTTCCGTGGTATGCCGTGTTAACTCTCCACATGTTAAAGTTTTCATCGCTGAGCATCAGGAAGCCAGTCCCACCACAATGGACATTGTCCCGACGAGTCAACGCAGTCTCACTGAGTTTGCAAGCTCTCATGTCCTGCATACCACCCAGTAAATCAGAGAGATCACTTTCGGGGTTGCTGGAGATAGTGCACGCATCACTGTTTTCGTTATGGGAGTGGCGGCCGCGAACCTGCCAATGACAGAAGGAAGAGGAGGACGACGATCGCCGGTGTGGTCGTGGCAGCGGCAGTTGCGGCCCGGGTTCCGATTAGTAAAGAAGGTTCCAGGTCTGGCTCCGCATCTTCCCTGCAGGCTTCTGGGCCAAGCAGCTTCGAAACCCCCTACAATTGGCGCCCAATAGGAAGAACCCTGCCCGTGGGCCACGGACATCAAGTTACCTGGCAGTCTGCGACCATGGCCTTGACGACGCCGCTGACCTGTGCCCACTTTTTCCGGTTAAGACGCGAGGGAATCGGTCCTCGACTTCATTGACAATCTTTTCGTGTACTCGCCTGTTAGCAGCTTCTCAGAGTTCGACGTGCTCTAGCAGGTCCTCCCAGTTGCTCTGCGTAGTACCGCACAACGATGGTGGCTGCTTTAACCACCCTTTCAGTCCTAAAACCAGTTTGTCGCGGCATTCCGGGAAACGTTGCCACCGGTCGCTTACGACTACCGTATCCGGCGTGAGCTCTACACCTGAACGCAATGCCCAGAGGAGGGTCTGCGAGGTTAATGTCGGGCCATGCAGAAGCGCATCCATCGGGCCCACTGCACCTGCCTAGACGCCGTTGATGCAGAGGTCGTTCATGACGTGGACAATGCTGATGGCATGTGGCAGGAGTGCGCTGAAGGTGGTGGAGGGGAGCATCACGTCACGGACAACCCTGCAGTGCATGATGATATGGTGCATGATACCCAGAACTGCAGCGCGAAAAACGGTGCCCAGGCTGATGGCACTGAAAACAAATGCAACGCTACGACCACGGAAAATGGCATCTGCAAAATGTCAGCGCTCATTCACGGCGACGAGCTCGAGGCACTTCATGGGTAAGACGCATCAAGTGAAGGTCGAAGAATTCGTCAGGCAAGGAAAGCTAAAACCAGACAGGAATAATGCTGGAGCCAAAGCTCCAAAGCACGTTGACAAGTGTGTACACTCTGGCGCTTCCACCTCACGCACCAAGCAGCAGGCCAGCCGTAAAGGCGGTGGGACCTACAAGGACAGCATGAGAGGCTGGCAGCTCCTGAGGTCACACATGGAATTGTGGACTGACTGCGCCGGTATGTGGTCTTGCGCGTTGTGTGCGGTCCGTCATGGCCAAGGCTAGCAGCTACTGCATCACGTCTCTCTCTCTTCACTTTTGCCGAAGGGGAGGGCACAGTATGGGAGCGGCGGCTACGAGCCTGCCAATGACAAAAGGAAGAGAAGGACGACGATCGCGGGTGTGGTCATGGCACACGGTAGCGGCTGGCAGCAGGCAGGTGCGGCCTGGGTTCTGGTCGATAAAGAAGGTTCCTGGTCTGGCTCCGCGTCTTTCCTGGGGTGTCAGGGCCGAGCAGCCTCGAAACCTTCTACAACGTGTACCCGAAGCAGATGGCATATTCGTCACTATTGTGTTGCGAATTGCTGTCACCACCATGACACGTCGCGAAGTCACCTCCGCGATATCAAAACCAAAAGTGTCTTTTTAAAGTGACGGTATTAAAAATAAACATGGCGTATTCCCATGCACCGCACTCTTTCAGAGTTCTCAAATCCGCATTCTTATACAGAGCAACAGTCCCAAAATATTTAAAATTTGTGTCAGCCCAACTTTAAGCTGCCTCGAAGGTATTATTGCCACGGAGAAAGTTTGAGTACTATGGATTGCATTTTTTATAGCAGTAAACAACAAAATACATAAAACAATGTAAGTAAGGCAAAACCGACAATAAATAAACATTCTCTAAGCAGATAGAAAGCTCAAACAAAACGAGAGCAACAATTCAAATATTTCTTAATATGGGTTTTACAGCCGACCTTTACAAAAAAAAGGTTGTTTTCGGCAACCATAAATGAAAAAGTACATAGTACAGCAAATAATGTACAAAAACTTTATAAATTGTACAGCACTATTTGTTGGCAATGTAAACAGACCTACGCCACAAGTTCGAGTTTGCTGGTTGCTGGCACGTGCCTTGCACTTGTTCTAACTGCAATTTCCTCCTTTGTCCCTGCAACTTCGTGTGTGCTGGCAGTGCTGTGATGTGAGAACTGTGTACCTGCTCTCATGCGCAGCGTGTGCATCACAGTTTTGAGTGGTCACCGTGGCCAGCTGTGCTTACCTCTCTCTGGAAACTGCTTCTGCTGAGGTTGGCACTCTGAAATGAAAACAGAGAGTGGGTGCTTTAAACACGTCTCTAAACAAACAAACATCGTGCACTCACACAAACAATTGTGCCGGGAAAATGGTTTAAATTTCAAGATGAACGCTGCTTGCCCTTCCTTTCATGCACAGTTTCCAGCAGTGATAAGTCGGTATTAAGATACCTACTTCAAAAAAAAAGCAAGGTGATATATTTTTGTGTTAGCGCTCCTTCGAAGGGCCACTCCTCAAGTTTGACAATTTTGAGCTGACGAGCGCAATGCATACATGGACCGTTCACGATCAGTTCTGCCAAATTGTGCAACACTACGTGCCGGGAAAATGGTTTAAATTTCAAGATGAACGCTGCTTGCCCTTCCTTTCATGCACGGCCACCCTGTGAATAAGGGAATGACGTAGACTACAGAATTGCCCTGTGTAAATGGTATGCTGTGATGTCAGTCCTCTGCATAGACGACTGATCTGATGTCGCCAACAGTAGCACGTGAGACAGCAAAAATTATTTCAAAAATGTGTAGTTTGTGTAATTTATTGCCTGGATATATGAATAAAACTTGAGATAAATAATGAGACACACACAGGGAATGTGTGCGTCTTTTTCATTTTTTCCCGTGAATTGCAACGAGATGCGGGGCTAATATGCCAGCATTTTGAGTGCGTTCGTGTCCCCACTGTTAATGCATCGAGCAGACGCCAGCCCTGAAAACTAAATTAATAGTCCTGCACATTCGAGCACTCAATATGCTCATCTATTCTGGCGTGTCTATACCAGCATCTCTAAATCCATCCTGCAGAAACAGGTACTAGACCACAAAGTAATGGTGGTCAAGAAAACAATGCTGCCCGCATCTTCTCGGCGGAGGGGCTTGCTCGGGGACATCATGCACGTGTGACCGTTTGCTTGGATGCCACAGAGGGTAGAGAAGAGATTTAGCTTGCAAAGGCAACGTGGGGCAAGCAGCATGGAATTTGAGCTCGTCTCCTCGCATCATCTTTTTGCACCGCTTCAAAATGTCACTTATTTCAGCTCATAATGAATTGATTGAAAAATTTTTTGTGGCATAATGCTCTTCATCAGACACCAACAACTGCCACGGCCCAACTAGGGGACCTGGCGAGTAACCCTTCAAATGTCCAAGTTTTTCAACAGTGCAATGGGTGAGGGGATGTGATAACGGATTCTACCTTGTCATTACGTTGAAAGTCGGGCAAGTTGTTATGGCAGCATATCCTGAAAACAATGTGCAGCAGGACAGGACACATACAAAAAAAGGATAAACAGGAGACAAAAAAGGTACACACAAGCTACAAGTTGTGCTTTTTTGTCCCCTTGTTTTGTTTGTCCAATGCTGCTTCAGTCTTTTCAGAAGATTATCACCAGCTTGTCAATTTATGCATCAAATTCTGCAAGATTGACAACAAGTAGATAGCCCTTGTGCCAATTCAAATACCAGTTATCAAGTTTTGTGGCATTCGAACATTGGAAGTGCCACGTGTACGAAACAATCACACATCTGTACCAACAGGAATCTCGCCGTGAAAATGTCGAGGAATCTGTCATTGCAGTATGCAATCCTAAAATCCTGATGTAACTTTTAATGACGGTAATAGTACTAATATGCATAAAGGTGCACCTTTGATTGGCTGTGGCACTTCCGCTGGTGGGCAGGCGTTGTAGAAACCTTGCATTCCATCAGTTTGCGTCGATACATGGTCTATCTTGGGGGCTATATTAGCCTCTGTTGATTTGGACACGGTTTTCTCACATGATGTGTACTGGTTGCGCTGCAAAGAACGGTTATATTGAGCGACTTCTGTTGGTCAAGCCGATGATGCAACCTAGTGGCAGGAAAAGCAGAATGTGATATAAGGCATCCAACAATGTCATTAACTGCAAAAGCCGATTTCACTACATTGAACTGGGAATTAGTATGCCTGAACACTTCACTTTAAATGTAAGTGGGAAAGAGCGTCTATACGACAACCGAGAAAATACTGGATACTAGACAAAAAACGCTAGACACCAAAATAAATCCAAGAGAGATAACTTCGTTGGAGTTCAATGTCCCAAAATAATATGACCACGAGTGATGTCGCAGTGAAGGGCTTGACAAATTTTGTCCACCTAGGGACATAAGTCATGCATTTAAACCCGAGTACATGGGCCTATGTCATTCTCGCCTTCATAAAAAATTTCCACAGAGATTTGATTCTGTGACCTCAGCAGTGGGACACCACAGGGAACATTTCTTGCTTTTATCTGTCTGGTAACAATTATGATAGATTAAATTGACTTATAGTGGGTACAAATCCACAACTTTCGAATTGGAAGGCTGCGCTTTAGGGTCGTCTGCGCTGGCCATGGACGAAAGCTTTCAATCTTAAGGACTTTCTCTCCTCACCTCGGATTTTCCGGCATGAAACCTTGTGCAGCGGTGCGAGCATTTAATTTTGTAAAAGCCGCAGCCACAACGGGGTTCTCAAGGAGGCTATGCGGCAGAAAGAGCGGTCAAAGGATGAAAGTACCACAAAGTACCTTACACTTGTTTATGTACTCGTGTACTTCAAAATGCAAGGCTGCGAAATAACAAAAAAAATTGGCGCCTTCATCTTTCTACGGGGGGGGGGGGGGGGACTTGAGTAAATCCGTTGCTGAGTGGTGGGGATATGGCATGAATGTTGTGTCTACTCGAGTCAAGGAAAGCGTTAAGTCAATCGACAGACAAGTAAAGACGCCCTTCACTGAATCCCAAATGCCCGCTCTGCGGCTTATATACACACCGCCCGCATTCGAGGAAGACGAGACGAGCCAAGCATGCGCAGTTGGGGTGCAGACAACGCAGACGCCAAAGTGCAACATCCTAAGACTAAGAAATGCTCCGCATTTAAGAAGTTTGCTCTAGCCGTCTGAAGCTTAAGAAACGCCAAAGTTGGTCGACGACTCACAGCACTTGCCAGCATTTCATGTGTTCTGCATTGCATCGAACCGAGCTTAGCGTGATAGACAGATTACAGTTAAAGGGACCGACTATGCATTTTTTTCAACAGTGTTTTCCGGCTTGCCTTTCGTAGTGTTAGTTGTGGCAGTAGTTAATCCCAAAAGCATGTAGTTGTTTATAAGCAGTATTTTTCGATCTGAAAGGCTCTGAATACTGATTTTCCTTTTTGTCCAGTGAGCATTCATAGTGATGGCGGTAGCTCTTCTAGTGACTTGTACATGATGTCGTTGTGCTTTCGCAGGAGTTCTCATAACTACACTTAGCCACATTTATTCTGAGCTTTACAACTATTTTTGAATATAAGAAGCCGTTACAATGAGATCATGTGGCTTTATACAGCTTCCCTGTATTTGTACTGCATTGCACGTGCCTGTGTCGTGGATGGCTTGTCTCAGTCATCATTACTCTCTCAACACAGGAGCCAAGCCAAGTCACCAAAAACGTCACTGCACATATGCGCGGCCGTGCCGAGCAGCAGCACACGTGATTTCTGAGACAAAATGTAGGTATAAGAACCACGTCACCCCAAAATCTTAGTGACCTATATACTGCATGCATGGTTTCATGAGCACGCAGAAATATTGCTCAAGAAGCGCTGACGAGCATGGGATGATTACGTCATGCAAAGGCAACACCACTTCAACGCGTACTACTAACGCAGGCTTATATGTACATTTTTATGAAGTAATATCTTTTACTCTGAAGAAGCAAACAATCTTTCAATACTAACAATAAAATATTGACCATGTATACTAGTCTACGATCACGTGACAGGGTACATCGAATAATAGTTTACGACTCCAGGTGACGCCACAGGCCATTTCTCACAATTTTCAATGAATAAATATCTAACTCCACTTCTCACGAGAAAAACAAGGTTGCTCTGAGTCACTATGAGGGACAATCTTTCCATTCGTGCAGTCATCTCGTTTCATGTTTTGGACAGTTGTCGGTTCCTTTAAAAAATTGCCAGGTCTGCACTGAACTAGCAGCCGAGTCGCAGCGAAAGCTAGAAGAGTGGCTTTTCAGAGCCTTTTCTAAACACTCTTTGGGTAACTGCTGTAAGTACGCTTGCTGGGTACCCACTAGGCCATAATCATGTTTGTGTAGATGGCCAGCATTCTCTATGCTTTCTTTCGTCATACTTCGGAGAATTGTAGTATCCGCTACTCACTTGCTAGAAATCTTGTGTAATTTTTGAATTCAGTGGCTGACGACATCAAAAAATTATGCCTGAAGGGGGTATGCACCACAGCTAATAGGTGATCAAGAACAAGTTTTTTAATGGGTTGGAACTCACTCATTACCCAGTTTTCATGGAGTGGTGCCTGGTTGTTTTTTTAATGTTTTAAAACACTTAATTACTCATATTAGCGTGATTACTTCCCGACATCAAGCCTACCTAAGGCCAGTTTAGAAATTAGTTCTAAGCACTGCCGTGGCCCAGTGGTAGTATACTGGGCTGGCATGCAGCGGACCCGGGTTCGAATCCTATTGTGTCCTTCCTGTCTTTTATCTAGTTTTTTTTTCTTCTTGCGAAACTGGTTACGGACACTAGAGGCAGAGAACTACGGCGCCGCACGTTACCGGTGTTCTCATCTCAACAGCCTTTGCTGTAAAACTACAGCCTGTCATGAGTACGGATCCAGAGGGAGGGTGATCGCTCCCCCCCACCCCCAAAACCTGTGTCAGCACCAGTCTCCCCCCCCCCCCCCTTTAAGAGTGCTTGTCCACCTCGTACCACCAATTAGAATAAATGAGTGGGACCATTTTGAGCACACATAACTCCTATTTATGCTTGACGGCTTCTTCCTGCTACAAAAAACAAAAATGTCGGGACCCCCACCCCCCTCCGGAGTTACTTCAGGCCGCTGCCCCCCCCCCCCCCCATAAAATCCTTCTCTGCCTGCAACAGACCTAGGTCAAACCCCAAAGCCAGAATTGCGAGCACACCTGGATGTGGCCCCTCAGGGTAGAAGGGCGGGCCTTTCGTCACATAATTGTGCTCGGCTCGACTCTCACCTGGCACACTTCGCTTGGCCCGCTTCCTCGCCGCGCTCGCTTCGCGTTCCCGTCGAGCATAGTCGGGATCCGATTGCCGTTTACGGTTACATTCTCGGGCCGCAGCACGCCTAGCTTCGAGGCAAACGGCCTCCTCTTCGGCTGTGCGAACTTTGCACGGCCGACCCGTTGCTTCCGAATGTCTGAACCGTACCCTGGTGGTGTTGCCCGAACACGGCCGAGCAAGCGCTGGCGCACCCCTACAGAGAACATCTGGAGCTATGACATAGACATGGTTGCTAAGCGACAGCTATGCCGACGTCCCACCAGCTGCGCAGCATGGGTAGGGTGGCTAGCATGAAAAGGTCTATTTGGAATGGAGGACAACTTTGCTGATAAACAACGGTGCGGATATCACTGTAGTTGCTGCACTCTGCCCGAACTCGATCTTGTTAGAGCATGGAGCAGACCGATGATGACGTGACGGTGCTGTTTGTCGTTGATCCTACTGCGGCCTTGTTCAGGTTGTTGTACAACCACAGTGGGTCGCATACCTTGCAGATGTGCCCGAAGCTCCTATCCAGGAACTCGCGCTCCCTTCGCCGCCGACTCGCATTGCCGCGCCGCTTCGAGATTCGCTGCTCGTTGTTTACGTTTCGCTTCGGCTTCCCGAGCTCGGAGAACGGGGTCCGCTAGCCGCCGTTTCCTTTCGGCTTCGCGAGCCCGAAGTTCGGGATCGGCAAGCCGCCGCTCCCGTTTCGCAGCCCGAGCCTTCTTCTCCGCGGCGCGCTGGCATTCATCGCGGCGTTGCGCAGGGGAGGTGCGCGGGCTCTTACACCGTTATACACCGCCGAACTACCGTCCCCAGCGGAGTGTGCAGCTGTCTCACCACCTGTCATGCGCAGAGGGGAGGGGACCCCACGGGAGGGATGGACAAAGCCCCCACTTAAAGTGTGGCAGCTTGGGCTAGTTGGTATGGCATGACGTTAGTTATAGCGCGAGAACAAAACGACGACACAGAGACAAGTGTCTTTCGTGTCCTTGTCTCTGTGTCGCCGTTTTGTTCTCGCGCTATAAGTATCGCCCCACCATAGCCTCCTTCATAAAAGGAGGCTATGGCCCCACCTAAAGCTGCTTGGCATATTATGATGATGATGATGATGATGATGTGATGGCGGCCGGCCCCTTTGCAACGGGGGAACACACTCAGTGTCCTGGCCTCAAAAAGAAATGTGGGAAAAGAAAAACAAAAAGCACAGAGAAAAAAGAAAGGACCAAGAAGGATCCACACTCTTGAACGACACAGGCAAGAGACGCGCACACAGTGGTCTAGGTCCTAAGTCCGCCGTATAGTTGCCCACCACTCAGTAAGCCGCCTTTTCGTGGCTGCGACCGCGTACCGTCCCCCCCCATTGTCGCTGCTTCCATCTTCATCAAGCCTTTGAAACCCGAGCGCCTGTGGGAGGGTTGCACCCTCCACCTGAGAAGTTGGGAGACTCCTGCAGTGAAGGACGAGATGCTCCTGTGTCTCACTCGCTACGCCGCAAACTCTGCACAGGTTGCTGACCACAGTGGCATCAAACTTTCTGCGGTACTCCAGAGTGCGAAGAGCCCCAGCTCTCGCCTCGAACAGGAGGCTGCTGCCAATGCTATTGTCATAGAGGCGCGACCCACAGATGCTGTCCTGGTGTTTCCTGTAGCACTCGAGAGTGGACTTCGCCTCCATAGCTTCTCGCCATCGGGTTTCTTCTGCTTCTCTGACTCGCATGCGGACCTCGACCGTCCACTTGGCTGCTGTTTCAATAGGACTGGCTTCTGCAAAGAAGCCATACTTCTTCTCCAGCTGGTAGAGTCGTCGTGTCCAGTCAGTCCTCATGCATGTTGCCGAAAGGTACTCGAACACGCGGCGCGCCCATCGAGTGCGTCGCATGAGCGTGAGACGACCCCGATAGGCAATCTTGCTGGCGGCTTCCCGAGCTTCAAAGCTGGACCATCCGACGTCTCCTGAATCGCCTCGTTGGCCACTCGATAATGGCAACCGAGCGCTGCACGGCCGACCTCTCTCTGCTGACGCTCCAACCACTCCCGTGTCGTTGGCGATATGCACACTACCGCGTTTCCAAACGTCAGGCCCGGCACGTGAACCATCTTCCACAGGTCCCGGATCATCTGAAATCGGTTGCAACCCCATAGGCATCGGCGACGAAGGATTCGTTGAGCCTGCAACGCAGTCTGTCGAATCACAGTCTCGTGTAGACTATATTTTGCTGCATCCACACACAGGGTGACGCCCAGGTATCTGTAATCGTTGCGTGTGGCCAGCAGTTCTCCTCCTAAAGTCAACGCTGCTGCATCGGTACTCCCTCCAGTTAGACGGACAACCGCCGATTTCTTAGTGTTGAATCGAAGTCCAAGACTCGCGAGTTCCGTCTGGCAGATGTCGAGGAGGGATTGCAACTCCTGGTTACTCTCTGCCATAACCACCAGATCATCTGCAAATGCCAAACCAGGCAGGTGGAAGTTCTCTTCAGCACTAGTTGTGCTGAAACGCATGCTGAATCCGAGGTTGGAGTTCAACAAGGGCCCGCTCTATTCTGGATGCGTATAGAATGTACAGCAATGGTGACAGTGGGCAGCCCTGCCTCAGACCCTTATTTACATGAATTGGGCCAGTAGTTATGGCACCCAACTGCACACTCACTACATTGTCACTGTACAACCGTTGTATAGTGGAGATTAGCAGCCGGGGCAGTCCAAGGTCAGACAGGCATGCAAAGAGAGGACCGTGCGGCACGCTATCGTACGCTTTTTCAACATCGAGGAAGCAGCACAACAGCGTTCTCCCTTCCCTGCGAGCTATTTCTGCACACTGTGTGACGACGAACAGATTGTCATCCAGACGTCTGCCTGGCCTGAAGCCATTCTGAAGCTCGGTCAGTAGTCCCTTGGTTTCCGCCCAGCCACTCATCCATGCTTTGATGACCCCCGCGAACAAGCGATACATAACACTGGTGACCGTTATTGGTCTGTAGTCCTCTATGTTCCTCGCATCTCCGCCCCTTTTGGGGATAAGAATCACCTTCCCTTCATGCCATTCTTTAGGGATGGGCTCGCCTTCGATGATGGCCGTGAGGATCTCTGCGAGCTGTTCCCTCGAGTCTTCTCCCAAGCACTTTAGTACGCGCGCTGGCATGCCGTCCAGACCAGTGGCCGTTCCAGCCCTAATCCGCTTCAACGCCCGTTCAACTGTGAACCTTGAGAGGGCCCAGGTATAGACGCGGCGCAGTGCTCCCTACCGGTTGCCCTTCTAACCACCACCATCTAAAAAGTTCTTCCTTTAACTCACGTGCAACCTTGGATGTGGAACGCCGGCAGCAAGGCGGGCCTTCCATCGCTGATACTCCGTTAGACCGGTCAATTGTCGCTGATTTCGCTTCCATTCCGCGTCTTTCTCGCGCCTTCGCCTAGCATACTCCGGGTCCTTCCATCGTTGTCGCTTCTTGATTCTTTCACTGGCCATGTAAACGGGATCTAATCGTCGTAGACGACAACGCTCACGATCCGCTGCACGCCGAGCCTCGCGGATAGCAGCTTCTTCTTCGGCCGTGCGCTTCTTCCCTGGTTTACCCATGGCAAGCGTTGTAGGCAAACACGGCTCCCTCGGCGCCAGGTGTTCCGTGGCCAGGCCAGGCTCCGCGACTAACCCACACAACACCTACCACTTATCTCCGTCACGGACAGCAAGAAAGAAATCACTACTGCATGACAACAGCTTCGGTGCTGCCTTACTCTTCGTGGCTCGAGTTAGTTACTGTATAATGCTTTCAAGGTAACACATAGAGTACCTCTAGCTCGAGCGGGCGCGCTGCGCACTCTTTACATGTGCCCACAGAACACCTGCCACAGAACACCTGCTGCCTGCCTCTATGGTGGCTAGAAGTAGAGGTGTCACTGTGCCAGCACCATCCCGGCCGCGCCTTGAAAGGAGGCGTGCTGATATTTCATTCGGCCGTGGAGCGGCGCGCAAGTCGCCACCGTGATCAGTCGAGAGCGCTTGTCAGCCGTTAGTGCGGCACTTTTAGTCGCTTGCTCGAGTGCTGGCAAGCTGCAAAGTCTGCGCTTTCCCTATTTGGAAAATAGGGAAAGCGCAGACTTTTTTTTTTTGAATTCTGAAGCAAATGCCTGGCTCGATTGATCACCCTTCGCCGACACAACTTTTGATATCTGTATATTGCCTCAGTTTATACAGTTCGACACAGTCCCCCTCCAGTGGAAACATACCTTCTGGAGTTCCGAGTAGCCTTCTATGTCCTGTCATCCACAGTGATTCAATAAAATTGCAGGATAACTGGATGAGCTGCGAGATTTGAGGCGCCTCAACGAGGTTCATGGAATTATTATTGCTCGTGAACCCCTCCCTGACCCCACTGATCTAATTGGACGCAAAAGTGGCTACCTGATCACTTATTACGTGAGTGGCTATGTGGCCCGGAAGGTGGTGAAAAATACGAAGTGCAACGAATGTAGCATGTTGTTGCTTTACTCAAAATTCCAGCTTGCTTCCGGCAGAATCATGACTTCTTTACCCGTCCGAGTCCCCAAGAGACCCGTTCAAAGCTAAGGAAGATGTATTCGCCTATTGCTTCAGTTTCAACAAGTTGAAAAGTGACAGCATAACAGACCTTATATCTTGCCTGTCTATGAAGAAGTTAAATATGGTCGGCTGTGAACACCACAAATTGGAAGTGACAAATCAAATAATTAGATTCTTTACACTGACCAGAATGCATTTTCCCCTTGCTGGAGAAAATGTGCCAAATAAAAGAAGAGAAAAAAGTGAAGTGTTAACTCAGCGAACAAGGTTTTATTTTATGTTATTGAGTATTACTCATGCTCTGTTGTTTCTTGTGATTTTACTATTGTATTGTTCCCATTGTTATAGATATCCCATTAACAACTGGGATGTCACTGTCTGGTTGTGTTTCACATATATAGAAATCAATTGTTTCGTGAAGTGGTTTGTGACTGTACCTATGTTTGCCAATGAAATCTCAATGTGATGTGTGTATGTATGTCCATTGTATCGTCGTATATTTTCTGATCTCCTTAGTTGTCTTATTCACTTGCTTTAGCTGAGTTTCATATAACTTGCAGTTTTCTTCAACCATAATGCATACGTTGTGTTTATTTTCATGTTGTTTTTTTGCTCTCGAGAAAATAAATGTCTTGCTTGTAAAATTAAATCTTGATTGCGCAAGTCATAAAAATAACGGCTGCCGATACCTTTACGTGCATTGAAACCACGGAGAACACTGCGGCATCAAATTTTAAAACTGCACGGACTTTGTTTTGGTGTCAAGTTCACGGCAAGTCACTTGATTCTCTATCTTCTAAGCTTCGTAGCTGATATACTACGAAGTGAATTGAAAACACTAGTTTTCAGTGCCAATACGTGCTTTGCAGCGCACCGCCAGAATTGTGACAGGTGGACTTTGTTATAATCTGCAGGGTAGCGTGAAATATTTGCAACGAAAAACGACTGATGCGCGGGCGCGAAAAGGAAGCATCTCGAAAGCGAGCACAGCGCCGCCGCGTCCTGATGAATTTTCGCTCGCTCTTCGGTGCGCCGATGCTGACACCTCTCCTTCTAGACACTCGCGGCCAGTGTTGCCAATTGTCTGAAAGCAAAAGTAGCTAGATAGTTGTGTAAAAGTAGCTAAATATTTTCAGCATTTTGAAAACAATTTTGAGCATGTTCTCCTCATGCAATAAGTTTATTGTCGGCCTTGTCATCTCAAAGATTAGAGACAGCTGTCACATTACGTTTTCTTGCAGGCAGAACATGATTTAGCAACAAAAACAATGTACGCCTGTTTTAACCCCTATAGTGTTTGCAGACTTTTTAACGCGCTCGCCAATTACGAGCTGCGAATGTAATAGTGTAACGCGGACTGAAAGAGCGAGAAAGAAGAAGAGGGAGGACACTCTTGAGCGATGGTGATTCGGCAGGGACGGTTGACCGCTGGCATTTTCAGTGTAAATAAACCCATCACATACTGTAATTTTTAGCGAATTGGGCAGCCGCGAAAGACTGAGGGAATAAAAAATTTCCTCGGCGAGCGGAGTTCTTCATTGGGACGGGCAAGTAGCCAGAAGCTTGGCACACCAAGTTGAAAGAAACTTCGTTGCGACTTTGTCGTCAAAATGCGAAACACGTTGAAATCCGTGACTTGATCATCGGAGATAACAGCGGGAAATTTAAAAGGAGGTCTTTTGACCGATATTTATGTCTATTAACCTTGGGCGATGGTATTAACGACAGTGGAGTTCTCAGGTTGTGAGATATCTGCTAAACTAATTTATATTGCTCATATTTAGTGTCACTTTAACTTAACCTTTCATGCTATCATGCTTAACATGCTGTCACATGTTTTAAGATATATCAACGAAATTGCGCGGTTGCAAATCAGGGAACATATAGACACCCGACACACATAACGTACATTAGAGATTTTAGCTTACCTCTGAATGTACAATGAATCGCATTGGCGAATTAAACATCATGGCCTATATTTGTTTACAGGAAGCCATATATCTTACGGTAAATAGTAATGATGAAAGCCTGCTTGCCAGCTAGAGAAGTGAAAAACGAATTCGCAGTACAAGTGTAAAGCCATGTCAGTGGTGCGCAGAATTCTACGATTAAATCTGCAAGTTGCAGGCATCTTCTGCCGTTGCATAGGATGCCATCGTGCCGATTTTTGCAGCCACGTCATCTAGCAGGTTATATTCGTGGCACTTTTTTTTTTTTGTATCTCCGAAGGCCGTACGGCATTTTCAGTTACGCATTCAGTGTCCAGCCTGTAGCGACACCTGCACTTCACAATGCTTATGTCGCTCACCGTTCAATGTCCGGCTGTAATGGTTAAGGACGTTCGTCACTATGTTTGTTAATAGCGGACGAGAAAGGATTAACATCACCAATTGATGCGAACAAAAGAAGCTTTATATTGCACACTAGAGAAGGAAGTGGCAGGTGACACTAATGGAAACTGCTGTGCGCCTACGCCAAACGCCATACACAATGTCAAGCGCTGTTCACGGCATTCGAGAAGGGCAGCGACAGCACTGTCATGGCGAGTTCAGTGAAAGGGTTCTCGCCGTGCGCATCCTTGTAAGAACTTACTTCCTGCCAAAAACTATCGGTTCTGTTTGTACACTGCTGCACCATTTTACGTGCCGGCAGTTCTTCCACTGCGTTTCGCGATCGGACAGGGCTTCCACAAAGAGGAACTGCGATGCCGATTCCGTAATTAGCTCTTGTATTAGCTTCAGTGCCTGCTCTACAGAAAGGAGAGAAGTCTTTTGCAAGAACTGAATGTTTTCGGAAAGCCGTTGCATCTGCTTGCATAGTTCCACGATGCTTGCATAGTTCCACGATGAAACGTCGACAGCGAAGGCGTAGCTCTTTTTCGTCGTCACTTGGAAAGGATGCGTCTCGGAGTGCGGTTTCAAACCAATGACCAAAGTACGAATTAGGGTCAAGATGCTCGTTGATATTGACTGTTAACATGTCGTATCGGGAAGCTGGTAGGGATACTTTGTTGGCTGTGGACTTCACAAGAATCATCAGATCTTCGAACAATTTCATCGGGTCTTGGTACTCCGCTTGATATGATTTGTTCACACGCTGCACTTCAGCTAAAACCCAGTCCAGCAGGAGTACGTAGCATTTGTTCTTGGGGTCACTGTACACTTAACAGAGCATCATTGCCGAGTAGGAATTTTTTGTCTTTCTGTGCATTTCCAAAAACTTCCTTCAGTTCGGTCCACTAGGCAAGTGTTCTTAACTGCCGCATGTATTGACAGCCAGCGCGTCTCACAGGCTAGCGGTATGGTAAGCAAAGCCTCTCCGTCGTTTAGTTCACGGTATAAGCTTTGGTACTCCAGTTTCCTTGTTGAGGAGTGAGCAAACCAACGGTATGACTCCCTCACCAGAAATTCTATGTTTCTTGGCAAGGCTGCCGACGCACGTGAAACAGCAAGTTGAAGGGAATGACAAACGCATCGCACTATAATAACATGAGCAATTTCAATTCTCAGACGTGTGTATCACACCAGTCATGAAGTTCGCATTGTCTACTCCTATGCCAACAAGGCTTTTTGGGTTCAGACCCTTGGACCGCAATCCTTCTAAAAGCACTGAGGTGATGCTTTCAGCGTCGCACTTTTTGAGTTCTTGTAGGGTAAGGAAAGTTGAAATAACCTCAGCGTTTCACTGAGAAAAATACCTAATGGTGATGCCAAGGAGCTTCAGGACACTAATACCGGTCGACTCGTCGATCAGAACGCTGTACTTTTGGTGGCCAATATTGTCCCACAACGATTTTTTGAAGTGCGGTCCAAGGACGTTCCTTATTATATTAGTGCACTTTGTGCGGTGAATCTTGAGCTAAGAGGCAACCTGGCTATCTTGAAAAATTCGCTGGCAAGCTTCTCCGATGTGATCGATGGTGTTCATGTCACAGTGCTCGGCGACAAAAAGTGGAAGGGTTGCTTCTGCCTGCTGTACTGGGCTAGCCATTACACATGGCATGGCATCGGATGTAGTCCCTTGCTTGGCACACATGCCACGTGTTTTGCAGACGTGGTGTGCTCGCCTTCTTTGTCTCAATATACCATTTGCAAAATTTGCAAAAGGCCTTGAAGTGGTACGTCTTATGGAATTGTCATTAGCCACTCCTTATACTTATTCTCCATAAGCCAGCAGAGCCTGAAGCGTTGTTTGTACTTTTTGATCTTGTCTGTTGTGTACGAGTTCTTATACACATTTTCACAGGAAGGAAAGAAACACTGCC